GAGTTCACAGCAAAATAAAAACTGTGATTTACGTAAAAACACAATGAAAACATTGTAATCAGATTCTCTGTGATTTTTTATACCATTATAAATCTCTAAGGCACGATAAGAGAAAAGAAGTGGTTCCACTTTYCCTGTGACAGTCATTATCATGATTTAACAAATGCATAAACATTCTTAGTTGAACAACAGAAGAGATTGTTCTGTCCATTAYATGATTAAGAGAACTGAGGGGTTATCTTCCACGGATAGAATGACCTGTCACGGCCTAAATAGAGTTCAGTTTGTGACAGAGTTCCTGTCCTCTCRTCAGGCCTGTCCGAGGCCTGCTTCGAGGCAGTAAATCTTGTTTCTTCACTTGGGGTGATCCATACAATACAAAAAGCCCAATGCCAAATACGTTTTCATTAACTTTTTGATCAAAAACAACAAAGGCAGGAAGCTTATTATGGGGCAAATAAAGAACGTCTAATATTCTCTTTCCCTGCACAGGTGATGGTTCAGGTCTTTTGAAGTGAGGCTCTCTGAAAATGTTGTAAACAAATAATTTCTGTTTTAAACAAATGATCTAACACACAATTTACACTGCATCCGCTCTGCTCTCTCTGCAGTAAAAATGCACCCTTTGTAATCAATGAGAGCATTTACACTGCCTGCGCAGGTGACAGCGTGAGTTCAGTAATCCGCTTAAATTAGATTCCATCCTATTTTTGCAGAATGCCAAAGCAATACAGAGTCAATCTACAAACAGGAAAAGGAACAATCACAACATCTGTATTTTCAAACTCATTCATCAAAGACAGACTAGTTATGTCAATATCCTAACTATAGTAATAAATATTTGGATGTATTTATACACATATGCTGTCAAAGTTTATCATTCTTTTTGGGAAGCAGATGGCAACATGCAGCACACAAAATATAAGTGGATTTTATTTTGAAATCAGACATTTCTAAAATAAAACAGTGATACAGCTGCTACTGTTTCCAGTCCATCTTCCTAAGTAGTTACTGAGTTGTTACTGAGTAGTTACAGAGTTGTTACTGAGTAGTTACAGAGTTGTTACTGAGTAGTTACAGAGTTGTTACTGAGTAGTTACTAAGTAGTTAGAGTTGTTACTGAGTTGTTACTGAGTAGTTAGAGTTGTTACTGAGTAGTTACTGAGTAGTTACTAAGTAGTTCCTGAGTAGTTGCAGAGTTGTTACTGAGTTGTTACTGAGTTGTTACTGAATAGTTACTGAATAGTTACTGAGTAGTTACTGAGTTGTTACTAAGTAGTTACTGAGTAGTTGCTGAATAGTTACTGAATAGTTACTGAGTTGTTACTGAGTAGTTACTGAATAGTTACTGAGTAGTTATTCAGTAGTTACTGAATAGTTACTGAGTTTTTACTGAGTAGTTACTGAGTTGTTACTGAGTAGTTACTGAGTAGTTACTAAGTAGTTACGGAGTTGTTACTAAGTAGTTATGGAGTTGTTACTGAGCTGTTACTGAGTTGTTACTGAGTAGTTACTGAGTAGTTACAGAGTTGTTACTAAGTAGTTACTGAGTAGTTACTGAGTAGTTACAGAGTTGTTACTGAGTAGTTACTGAGTAGTTACTGAGTTGT